ATAATAGGTCTAACTGTATTGAATTTATCAATTCGAGATCCGTTACTTCACAATCACTTTGCAGAAAAACTTAGTTCACAGACAATTAATCTTATTTTACAAACAACCAATTTGCAGACAAACTTATTTAATAGACAACTTATTTTACAGACAGCGAATTATTGTCATTAGGATTAGAATTTGATTTAAGGTTAGAGGAATTTATAAGAATAAACTTGTCAGTGAAATGGCCTATCTGTGAAATAAGTTGTCTACAAAATGAACTTTTTATAGGAATCGGGTTGTAAGTGATTGTAAAATGATACGAACCAAATCATTTAATTACAGAACTTTATATAAGAATTTAAATAGTCTTTATTTTTAAAATCTTTAATCCAAAGATTAAGACAACTTTTATAATTTATTTACCTCTGATGAGTTGAATAATTGCAAATTGTTTTTCTATTAATTTTTATTAAAGACCATCAGTACTTTACTTTTTTTGTAGTTAAATAACGCAGCATTACAATGAAAAAAAAAACTTAACATTAAATATTAAATCCATAACTACGCATACAAGCTTTATGGGCTTCAATCAAACTTCGGCATTTTTCTTCGTCACCAGTTTGAAATATGCATTCATCACGAGCTTTTTTTGTATCTGGACATGCGCAGCATGGTTTAACTGATGGCTGTAACTGTGGCTGTTGTGAAGGTTGATGAACAGTATCAATAGTTGAAGAGGAAGAAAGTTGAATTATGTCGGTTTGGTTTGTTGACATTATGTAGAGGTGCTCAAACAGTAAAATTTAAAATATATCGTTTATCAATAAATTTATATGATGATCTGATTCACAAAAAACTCATCCTTGATTGACTAATTCACTTATTCATCAATGTCTTCTCTAATAAAAGTGAATTTAACATTCAGGTAATCAAGGCTTTTAAAAAATAATAATAATAATAAATACATAATTAAAGAATGAAAACGGTTAAATATCCATTATACTTTTCGGATTGTTAAAAATGTTAGTGGAGGAATAGAATTATTTTTTAACAATATCAGGCAGAAAATTATAGAAATACCTTCAACAATAAATCCACCAAAACCTACTACTATGAAAGATTTGGGGGGGTTTTTTTTTGATTTTATTCGATTAATTCATTCATTACTGATAAAAATGCTGGAAAATTAATATTATATTTGATATATTGTTTCACTATCAATAAAGATTTTCTGGATCAAAGATAATTTACTCCAAGAGCGGTCCGAATTATTCGTTAGTGGCGATACAATGTAAGTAATTTTATCCTTTATATATATATTTTTATTTCAGAAAATTTCATTATGACATCTTTATAATATTCTTTTATTTGAACTGCTCAAAAAAAATAAAATAAAATAAAATAAAAAATAAAAAATAGCCGACCCGGTATTTTAGTTTTAATAAATGATACAATGGGAACTAGAAGGAGAATTAGAGTATGAAATTAAAGATGAAAACGATATCGTCTTCATATCAACTTTACATGGTGGTTAACTATTAAAGTAAAAAAAGGTTAATTAATTTTATTTTATTTTAATGGGAATTTAAAATATAGTAAACTTGCGTCATCGCATTTTAAAATAAACATGTATAACATGACTATTAACAAATACTTTATTTAATATGTGCTATTACTGCTTGGATTGGGAGAATATTGAATTCAATGATAATTAAGATTGGGGGTATTATGTTTGAGGTCAATAATTATCGGTTTCATTCATTCGAGAAAACTCTACAGTATATTTATTTTTTACGATCTATGATTTAAATGGTTCCAAGCAGTGTTGTACGTTTTGGCATGTCCAAAGCTTTTTTTGATATGTCTAACGTTTAAGTGTCCAAAGTGTCCAAGCTGTCCATAGCCTTAAATATTTTTAGTAATAGAAATAAAAATTATATGATTATATTCTCCGTTTAATTCTAAACATTTTTGCTTAAAAGATTTGAATAGGTTATCTTAATAAATTTTTGAGTGAATTCACTTTATTTTTTTGTCCAAAAATGTTCAAAATCTTGTCCAAAGGCTGTCCACATACAACACTGGTTCAAAGTACATCTTTATTCATCAATTCTCTCTCTAAATACGCTAGTATATTCTCATTGCTTTGTCTTGCCTCTTCTTTATATATAATATATCTTTTTTATTATTTTTAGGAATTTCTTAATCTAGTTTGGTATTATAGTATAAGACACTATAATTTCTTGCTCTTTCTAACTTTCTTTTATTTTTAAAAGCTTTATAGTATACTTTTTTAGATTTCTATTTGAGTTATTGAAAACATGTATTGCTTTTGATTCTGTATATTTAAGTTGTCTAAAAAAAAGTATTTTATTAATATTCTTTGAAATGTTATATAGTTTTATTGTATATTGCTTTCAGCTTTCAAGTACTTTTTCATCTACTTGCTTTTGATGTTATTCATATTAACAACTTATTAAAAAAGAGAATTACTCAAGCTTTTCTTTCTTAGCTATTTTTTTTCTGTTTTGAATCTCTTGTTTTCTTCTGATCTTTTTTAGTTCAAACCAATTTGATTCTCTGTTTAACATAACATTGAAGTTAAAATCTAGAGGAAGAAAGGATTACATATGATTAGCTAGAATATTAAATAAAATACACAAAATATAATTCTAACCAAAATTATAAAAATTTTTTAGTTATGACCTAAATTATATGAATATTTTTATCTAAAAATTGAAAAAATAGGGGAGAGGTTATGTTAAACAGAGAATCAAATTGGTCTGGTCTTAATTATATTAATATATTTGATTTTTCTTATAAATCTAAAGGTTACAAATATTTGAATTTACAATATTTGCTAAGATAGAATAACTATTTTCCTATTTTCAAAACTGTTTAATAACATTTGATTTATATCTTGTTTATGAGTCTTTTCTTAAATCTGCTTTTCTTTTTTTTCTTTTCTTTTTTTTATAGAATGAAGCCTTGTTTTAAATTTTATTGAGTTTTATAGCATAAGTACAATAGAGTTGTATATTAAATATTATATTAAATAGAGTTTATTATTATAGGAGAGCAGAAATATGTAATTTATTATAAAAGAGCGATTATAAGAATTGATTTATTATATAGAAGCGATCAGATGTGTTGTGTGTTCTTATGAGCGAGCGATTAGAATTGTTATTTACTTCATTAGTTTAAGCATTATATATATAAAGTTTAATTATCAATCTGATCTGGGGTTCTAAACCTTGATCTTGGGTCTCAAACCCATATCTTGGGTTTCAAACCCAGATCTTATCTACACAGCCACTGATACTAACATATGGGCGGAAATTTTTAGTTGGATTAATGAAATTTAGGTGATAACAAAGTGATACTCATAAATACTCATAAACAGCTTGGCTCAAATAATCCGAAATTGATCTAGTTCAGGTTAGTTTTAGGGGGTATTCTAGTTAATCTTTTCGGAGCACTACTCATAAATGGGATATAAAAACTCAAGCGAATTTTACGATCACTAATCAAATCATCACATTTAATATCTTATTGACTTAGATTCTATTTAATCTCATCGTTCAATTTAAATAATTACTAAAATTAAATTTTTAAATTGGACTCGTCGGATAATTCCGGAAAGGTAAAGGCTTAGTCTGATAATATAGGATAATATATCATCAACTTGAATAATATTAGACCGATGGTCCTTTCGGTCCGGTGCCGCTCACTTCACCGACAGTCATTTCACCGAAAGTTCATTTAACCGACATCACATGGGTTTAGGGTTAGGG